CCCGGTATTTTTAATCCAGGCTAAGTAACTACAAAGTTTGTCTGCCTAACCACTATAATATACTGTTCTGTAAACACATTTACAAACAGAAAACAAAACAATGCTATTAAAATGTAATTATGTGATTCCTGGGAAGATGGCAGAGTAGGAGGACACCAAGCTCACCCCGTCCCATGATATAACTAGATAACTATCGAATCATCCTAAATACCCCAGAAAATAACCCAAAGACTCTCAAAAAAAAAAAAAAAAACAAAAAAACCTCTACAGCTGTATGTAGAAGAGAGGCCACAAAAAAAAAAAAATGTACAGAAAGGGCGGAGATGCAGTGAGGAGCTAAATGGAGCATGGACTGTCTGGGGAAGGAAGGACCCACCAGTGGAGAGAAGGGAGAAAAAGAGATTATCATACTGGGAAGAAAAATCCCCATAACATTTGGGAAGAAAAATCCCCATAACATTTGGCTTTGAAAACCAGGGGGGTGAAATTTTGTGATTTCTTACAACCAACAGGACTGAAAGCCTAGAATTTTAAAACTCAGCAGGTTTGACCCTGGGAGAGATGGGAGGGTAAGAGTCCCTACACTTAAAGAGACAACACAATGAACAGCCTGTGGAGATACAATATAAAAGAAGGAGTTGGAAAAATGCTTGGGGCATATGGAAAGAAAGTTATTTATGAACCAAAGACTGTATCCCAGAAGGACAGAGGTCATTGGGAGACTCCTCTAGGAAAAAAGGAGCTCGTGGACACAATTTCCCTTCCCCTCCACCAACATAAACACAGGGCCATCTGCAGGAAACAGTGCAGTACCAACATTCACTACCTAGCTTGCTTACACTGTGCCCTACTGCCTCACAGCCTACCCCACTGCTATCCCCCATGCTGGCTTCTGTGGATCTGCCCCTTCCAGACAGGCCTGCCTCAGTTCTGGTGCTACAGGACCCCTCCTGCAGAGGACCTGAGGCACACAAACCTTGGTAACACCACACACCACCTCACCTACCCCATGGATATTCCAGATCTGCCCCCTCCAATACTCTCTTGGTTAGAGCCCATTCAAACCTGGGCCATAAGCCTGATAGTGTGCAAGCAGCCCCAAGAGGAGCCAGCACCTCACCAAAGTAAGTCCTGCCCTGGGAAGAGGGAAAGATAACCACATTCATCAGTTAGAATGCAGCCCTGGAGTGGGTTGGGGGCAGACAGCTGGTCTAATTGCAGGCCTAGCCTACCAACAAAAGCTACTCAGGAGACAACACAGAAAGCAGCTGGCTTTGGTGCTACTGCATTTCTGGACAACACCTGTTCTGACTCAACTAAAGCCCAAGGCAGCCCCAGACTGGTCCATTAACTGGACCACTAAACACAAAAGGACCACTCCAGACTAGTCCACTAACTGGACCACTAACCACAAAAGGACCAAACACTGCCAACAAACAGGAAAGATAGCCACAGTAGATGACTAGACTGAAGGCAAAAGTGGTTTAGCCACAACAACAGTTTGTATGCAATACACATATGAGACATCCCTGAAGTGCCAGTTTCCAGCAAACAGGGGACATTACAAATGCCGGGCAGAACTTCTTTTCATAAGGTCACTACTTTCAAGGGCAAGAGACACAGCTGACTTTCCTAACACAGAGAAACAGAGAGACAAAATGAGGAAACAGGAATACGTCACAAATGAAAGAACAGGACAAAATCACAGCAAGAGACCAATAAGTAATATTGCCTGATAGACAATACAAATAATGATTCATAAAGATATTCAATGAACTTGAGAAAAGAGATGAAGACATGAATGAGACCCTTAACAAAGAGATAAAAAAGAACCAATCAGAGAGGAAGAATATAATAAACAAAACTAAAACCACACTAGATGGAATAAATGGTAAACTAGAGGATGCAAAAGAACAAACTGGTGGTATGTAGGACAGAGTAATGAAAAGTAATTAAGATGAGCAGGTAATAGAAAAAAAATATGCAAACTGAGAACAAACTTAGGGAACTCAGCAACTCAATCAATGATATTTACATATTATAACATTCACATTATAGGAATCCCACAAGAAGAGAGAGAAAATGGGGCAGAAATTTTGTTTGAAGAAAAAATAGCAGAGACAGGGAGATAGCAGTTGAGTAGGAGGACCCTAGGCTTGCCTCATCCCACAAACACAACTAGATAACTATTGAATCATTCTAAATACCCCAGACGAGATCGGGCGTGTTCAGGAAATCAATCTGAAGACTGACCAAACTCCACAACTAAGGGACAGAAGAGACCACATCAAAGAAGGGAGAGAGTGCAGAGATGTGGTTGAGGGGAGAAACTGATCCTGGCTGCTGAGGAGGGGAGGGAGTCATGGTCATAAAAAAAGGTGAGAGAGAGAGACAAGCACAAGGGGACACACAAGAAATTTACCCATAGCCACTGGCTTGGAAAATGAACAAAGGTGAATTTCATGAGTCCTTGCAACTAGCATGGCTTATAGCCTGGAGTTTTAAAGGTCAGGAAGCTTGGCTGGGTTAGAGCCTGAAGTGCACTGTGCTGCTCTTGCAGACAAGGCAGGAAAACAGTCTGTGGGACATTCAGTGATGAAAGAGTGGTCTGAAGAGCCCCTAAAGCACAAAGTGGGGAGATAATTTGCTCTTCCCGGTGCATACCCCTGAGAGTCAGCATTTAGGGACAGGCATCTCCAGGAACAAAGGAGGTGGATGGCACCACTTGCTCCTATACTCCTCAGCGTAAATACAAGCAGGAAGCAGCACAGGACAGACACTGGCTACCTAACTTGTTTACACTAAACCCCACCCTCTGCACTCTGCTAGAATGGCACTTTACAGTCATGCCTTACTTCACTCCCAGGATAGCAGGCCCTTCCACCAGAAGGCAAGCACAAACTCTTACGCACACCATGTCTCCCAAACACAGAGTTTTACAGGGCCTCAGTTCTGATGCAGGTAGTAATAGGTCTCATTTCAGAAGCAGACCAGGACTCACCTAGTTAAAACTCACCATAATCAGGCCAAGGACCAAACACTGTTCAAAGCAGGCAAGGAGAGCTTCTGCAGATGACTGACCTGAAGGATAGACTCCAGAACACACCATCAGAATGCACACTGCACACACCAAAGACACTCCCTTAAGTGCAAGGCCCTGGGCACTGACCTCTTCATCATAAAGCCTTTACTTTCAAGAGTATCAGACATAACTCACCTTTCTAACACAGAGAAGCAGGCAAAGACTTAGAATGAGAAGACAGAGGAATTTATCCCAAATGAAAGAAGATAAGGCCATAGCCAGAGATCTAAGTAAAAGTAAAAAAAAAAAAAAAATAAGTAATATGCCTGATGGACAATTTAAAAAACAGTCATAAGGATACTCATTGGTCTTGAGAAAAGCATGAAAGATATCAGTGAGACCCTTACCAGAGAGACAAAAGAGTTAAAAAAAGAATCAATCAGAGGTGAGTGCAACAAACAAGATCAGAAAGAAACTTGATGCAATGAACAGTGGACTGGAAGAAGCAGAGGAAGGAATTAATGACCTAAAAGACAAAGTAACGGGAAGCAATGAAGCTGACCAAAAGAGAGAAAGAAGAATTATGCAAAATGAGAATAGACTTAGGGAACTCAGTGACTCCATCAAACATAATAACATTTATATTATAAGAGTCCCAGAAGAGGAGAGAGAAAGAAACTTTATTTGAAGAAATAATAGCTGAAAACATTGCTAATCTGGGGTAGGAAACAGACATCTAGATGAGGAAGACACAGAGAACTCCCATCAAAATCAACAAAAGCAAGCCCACACCAAGATATATTGTAATTAATTTTGCAAGATATAGTCATAAAGAAAAATTTGTTAATAGCAGTAAGACAAAAGAAGTCAATGAAATACAAATCAAAACCCCAATGAGATACCACCTTTCACCAGTTAGAATGGTAAAAATTTACAAGACAGGAAACAAATGTTGGCAAAGATATGGAGAGAGGAATCCTCTTACACTGTTGGTGGGAATGCAAGCTGATGCAGCCACTCTGGAAAACAGTATGGAGGTTCCTCACGATGTTAAAAAATAGAGCTACCCTATGACCCAGCAACTGGATTACTAGGCATTTACCCCAAAGATACAGATGTAGTGAAAAGAAAGGGCACGTGTACCCCAATGTTCATAGCAGCAAAGTCCACAATAGCCAAACCGTGGAAAGAGTCTAGATGTCCATCAACAGATGAATGGATTAAGAAGATGTGGTTCATATATACAATAGAATATTACACAGCCATCAGAAAGGATGAATATGTACTATTTGCATCAACATGGATGGAACTGGAGGGGGTTATGCGAAGTGAAATAAGTCAATCAGAGAAAGACAATAATCATATAGTTACATTCATATGTGGAACATAAGGAATAGTGCAGAGGACCATACGGGAAGGGAAGGAAAACTGAATGGGAAGAAATCAGAGAGGGAGACAAACCATGAAAGACTTTTAACTATGGGAAATAAACTAAATTTCACAGAAGAGAGGGGGTGGGGGCATGGGATAACCAGGCAATGAGCATTAAGGAGGACACATGCTGTGATGAGCACTGAGTGTTATACATAATTAATGAATCACTGAACACTACCTCAAAAACTAATGATGTACTGTATGTTGGCTAATTGAACATAATTAAAAAAAGAAAATCACTAACTTATAAGGAAAATCCATAAGGCTGGCAAGATATTTTTCAACAGAAACTTTGCAAGACAGAAAGGAGTGGCATGATATATTCAAAAGCGCTGAAAGGGATAAATCTGCAGCCAAGAATACTTTATCGAGCAAGGCTATCATTCAGAATAGAAGGAAAGATAGAGTCTCCCAGAGAAGCAAAAATGAAAGGAGTTTTGACTCCTAAACCAACTCTGCAAGAAATATTGAAGGGGGCTCTTTGAGTGGAAAGGAGAGACCGAAAGTGATGGTATAAAGGCAGGAAACACAAAAGCAGTAAAAATGAATATTTCTGTTAAAAATCAGTCAAGGAACTCACACATAAAGGACATAAAATATAATAACATATACATAAACATGAGGAGGAGAAGAGAAAAGAATAGTTCCAAACTTATTTAGCCATCAACTTAATATAGACTGCTATATCCAGAAGATGTATTAAACAAACCCAATGGTAACCACAAATCAAAAACCACTAATAAACATGCAAGGAATAAAGAAAAATCCAAATATATCACTGAAGAAAACCAGCAAACCATGAAAGAGAGAACAATCTGAGAAAATTTCCAGAAACAACCACAAAACAAGTAATACAGTACCAATGAATACATATCTATCAATAATTGCTTGGCATGTAAAATGGAATAAATGCTCCAATCAAAAGACATAGGATGTCAGAATGGATTAAAAAAAATAATATTCATAGATGTTGACTACAAAAGACTACTTTAAAGCCAAAGACACCTGCTAATTGAAAGTGAGGGGATGGAGAGTATTTATCATGCAAATGGATGTCAAAAGAAAGCCAGACCAGCAATATTTATATCGGACAAACTAGACTGTAAAACAAAGACTCTAATAAGAGACAAAGAAAGACACTTTATGATCATTAAGGGAACAATCCAACAAGAAGATATAATAATTATAAATATTTTTGCATCCAAAATGGATGGGGAGCACCCAAATACATAAAACAGTTAATAACAGACATAAAGTAAGTAATCAATGGTAATACAGTAATAGTAGAGCACTTTTACACCCCACTTACATCAATATATAGATCATACTAACAGAAAATCGACAAGGAAACAGTGACTGTAATGACAGATGGATTTAGCAGATACATTCAGAACATTCTATCCTAAAACAGCAGAATGCATATTCTTCTCAAACACATACAGAGCATTCTCCAGGACAGATCACATATTAGCCCACAAAAGAGGCCTCAACAAATTCAAGACCGAAGTCAGACCATGCATCTTTTCTGACAACAATACTAGAAGTCAACTATAAGAAAAAAATCTGGAAAAAAGAAAAACACAAATACATGGAGGTTAGATGGGTTAATGGGTGAAGCAGGAAATAAAAGAATTAAAAAGTACATGGAAAAAAAAATGAAAATGAAAACACAATGGTCCAAAATCTTTGGGCTGCAGCAAAAGTGGTTCTAAGAAGGAAGTTTAGAGCAATAGAGGCCTAACTCAAGAAGGAAGAAAAATCTCAAATAAGCAACCCAGCCTTTACCTAAAGAAGCTAGTAAAAGAAAAATAAACCCTAAATCCAGCAGCAGGAAGGAAATAATAAAAATTAAAGCAGAAATAAATGATAAAGAAACAAAAAAACCAATGGAACACATCAATGAAACAAGAGATGTTTCTTTGGAAAAAATCAATGAAATCGATACACTCCTAGCTAGACTTATTAAGAAAAAAAGAGAAAGGACCCAAGCAAATAAAATCACAAATGAGGGAGTAGAAATAACAACAAGCATCACAGAAATACAAACAATTGAAGAGAAACCTATGAAAAATTATGCCAACAAATTGGACAACCTAAAAGAAATGGATAAATTTCTAGAAACATATAACCTCCCAAAACTGAAGTAGGAAGAAATAGAAAATTTGAACAGAGCCATTACCAGCAAGGAAATTGAATCAGTAATTTAGAAACTCCTAATAAACAAAAGTACAGGATCAAATGGCTCACAGGTATAGTCCACCAAATGTTTAAAGAAAAGTTAATGCTTATTCTTCTTAAACTATTCAAAAAAATTGAAGAGAGAGTGCCTGCATGGATAAGATTTTTTTTTTTTCTTAAGACCAAGACCTAGTAATACCAACACTTCTGTGAATGTAGGGGGAAAAAGTATCTGGTTCCATGTAGCCCCCCGTGGGAGGGTAAAAACCTATTTGGGTGTACTTCCTAACTTCTTTCCATGTAACTATGCTGGGATGCAGCCAAAAGGATTATGTTTTACCTGTCCTTGACCACGAGTGGGGGCATACAGATTAGAAGTATATTTCCATGAGTCTCAAAGACTCGACCAGGTATATAATCAAAATCCCACTAAATGAACATCTATGCTCTGCCTACACTTTCTCATGACAACAACACTGCAAAGTAGGTAGAATTATTCCCATAATATGAATATGGAAACTGAGGTTGAAAGAAGTGAGATTACTTTCCTAGGGTCACTAAACTGTAAGTAGCAGGACTAGGATGTATACTTAGAAAGCCTTTTGTTTTTTCTACTGCTTTACCCTTCTGAGAGGGTTTCTCTGGGACACTGTGGCTTTAGCTCTGGCTGCTGCATAAAGCCAGCTTAAAGCCAGCTCCTAATCTTCACGGCTGTACATCCTTCTGACTATGAGGGTATCTCAGCTGCTTTGGTTGCCAATTAAATTATACATCCAACTTTGGGTTCTGATCAGTAAAAGGCAATATAACAAAAAGGGATAACATTGGATTCCTGGGTTCTACTTCATTTTCATTCAAATTCACAATTAACTGTTTACTCACCATATAATTCATTCCTTTCTGATAGTCTCCTAGATAATAAAATAACTATTCTTACTCTACACTTTAGTTGTGTTCTCCCTAATAAAATGTCAATTGTAGGAACTATTTTTTCCAAATCTGGAAAGTTAAATTTAAATTACAGTATTCAAAAAATCACACTTCTGAAAAATACTCATTCTCTCTTCTCCCTGTCTTGAAGCTCCACCTCGGGTTGCCTCAGGTTGTTTTTTGCTTTTATATGCTACTGATTTTCTAGTGTGATCACCGAATGATAGAGTTGGATGCTACCTCTTCAATATACTGAAGAAGGAAACAGGCCCAGAGGAAATGACTTGCCCAAGATCACACAAATATTGAGGAAATGGCACCTTTATTTCAAACTTTCCATCACTGGTTCTCCTTGGGCACTGCCTTCTGAGCCTGTAAACAAACACTCACTGGTGGTAAATCTAAAGCAATCTCAAACTAAGTTAGTAAAAAAAGCTTGTGACTAACCTACCTAATTACATTTGGAATAGAAAAACCAATCTTAATTACATTACAGTGAAATTGATTTTCTTCTGATAAGACCTTAAAATAACTGCCCGAAAGCTAGTTTCCCTAGACAAAAATGTTTAGCTTGATAACAACATTGTTGTAGTATATGTCTGACCTCTAATACATACTTTAAAAGGATTAAAACTCATTTGGACATTAGAGTTCTAATACATTTGTTTTTCAAAGATTCTTGCATATTCTTGCAAAATTTACAATAGAACAAGGAACAAAAATAAGAATAAGAATAATCAGACACTGCACTTAATATATGTTACCTTACTTTACTTCCAACAGGAATTCCTCCACAGCAGCTAGTACTTGGACAAAATTCTGGCATAACATATTTCTGTGTATCTTTCCTTTTCCAAAGAATTTATTCCAAAATGTGTTAATTTTAAGCCACTCCTACTAGAGAATCAGATGTAACAAAAATATAGACATATAAAAAAATATAGATGTTCATTCCCTAATCTAATGATAAGACTACTTCTTTTGGGGAAAGGACAGAACTTAATTGAAATAAATATTTTATATGTTTAGAGTCTGGAGTGAAAATGCTCAAATAATAAAAGAAGATCATGCCTCCTAAGCAATACTGACTCTACTATTAAGGGTCTTTTTCTTTCTTTCTTTCTTTCTTTTTTTTTTTTTGAGCTCTGTAATAGATGTAGATGTATAAATTTGCAGATAGGAGAGAGAACTGACCTCAATATCTTTGCATAATAAAGTGATAAGGAACTAAGGATTCTCATGGAAAATCTGGTAAAGAAAGGAGCCAAGGAAGCTGAGGTATATGGATAAAAAATTAAAAAAAGAAAATCTTTGATAGTAGCAAACCTAAGGAGAAATTTTAAAGGAAAGAGATAACCTAACAGAGATTCTGAAGGTACTGGCTGTGGGACAAGTGATAGAAACTCTCTCTTCTGCTCCCTCAGGAAATCTTCATCAAAAATGTTTGCTGGTGCTTTAGAGCCTGTGAATTTAGAGGAGGTGATGAGGAGGTTCTAATAGGTGCATACATCCATAACTTCAAAGAGACTGAATGATGAATAGCTGATTTGGGGGTATTGGAAGGGGGCAGAAGACATTGTTGGGAAGTTTAAAAAAGTAAGAATGTTTGCAGAGCAGGAGTAGAAATGTTTGCCATGCTGTGTTGAAGTACATAAAGGAAACTATAAAAGGAAAACCAGTATTTAGAACTGTGTGCTTAATTTGTTAGGAAAAATTAAGCTAAAATATGTAGGACAGGGGCTGAAAAAATATGCTTTGGCATGGACAGAACTAAGGCCAGGAGAATTGGAAAATGTCTGCTCATTTCCACAGTGTATATTAAATTAAGTCTATCTGTAGTTTTTTTAATTATTGTTTTTGTGTTTCCATTCAAAGTATCCAAATTATTTTAACCTCTGGGACCATGGTGAAACCTGGAGACAGAGCATACAACTTGAAAGGTATTGAAAGTTTAGATGAAAGACTAGCTATAGAAAAATAAACATCCTCTTAATACCCATATTATTTGCAAAAAAAAAAAAAAAGCATAACCAGTTTATGAGTATCTTGCTAAAACTTTAGGATGAAAAGAATTTGAAAAGTGTCTTGTGAGGCAGGCATCAATATTAAGATATACAAAGTAAATAATTTTATAAAGATGTTTATAAAAGAGTTCTTAATCCTCTGGAGATGATTTTTGCATGAGTTCCTATATTTCCCATTCATAAGTCTTCTGCCACATGGTTTTTCAAAAATAAGGCTGGAGAAGAGATATTGTAAATATTCATATATTCTATATAAAGGCTATATATGAATTATATACATAGATACATCCAAAACACATAAGGTAAAACCACATTTGCTTGGGTTAAATAAAAGTCATGCCAATCTAATCTAGTAGAATATATTTAAATAAAGATTTATTATTTTCGCATATGCCAAACCCCACATAAATTTACATTTATACATCTATTATGTATAATGCCTTAACACTATGGCAACACATAATTTTTGGCAGAGGGAGTTAAAGGTCTACAGAAGAGATGCATGCTAATGACTCTAATACAAAGCCTACTAAGAAAATTGAACTGCAGGAAAGCTCCTGCAGAACTAGGAAGATTCAAAGGAGACTAGAAGGGAAAGCACGGTTAATCTATTCAACGGAACTAAAAACCTGAGTTCCTAACCTGTTATAGGCTTAGTGCTAGAATCTGAAATGGTGTGAAGAGTAAACTCAGTGGATAAGAAAGGGGGATAAGGGAGGAGAAAGGGGTTTAATACTTGATGCTGAAGCAGCCAGGTATGGTTCCTGGAGTACTTCCTTAATTCTGCAGGGAATGGGAATAAGCCAAAATGTTGTTGTTTTTTTAAAGAGGGCAGTGACAGGATGAATCATGAATTTGGAAAATACAATAGTAAAACCAACTGCTTAAAAACAGTTTTAAATCATGGGTTGCATTTGCAATTACTCATATCCATATAAAGACAATATGGTCAGATCCTTTTCAGTCTTTTGCTTTCTGAAGAAGGCAAAGCAAAGACTTATGGTTTTGGTTCCTCTGTAAATTTATACAGATACAAAGGAATGCTTCAATGCTGACAGTCAAAACAGTCACAAATTTAAAGTGATTAAGATATCAATCAATTTTCCTGTATCACAAAACCTACATCTACATAATCACCTCTGATTAATGTCCTATAGAATATAAGCATACAGTAAAAGTTAATTTCTTCAGGTCAAATCTGGGAATCATATCAGCTAATTACTGCATAAGTTCCAGGGTTGGATCTCAATTGACATTAATTTCTTCAAGTCATTAGCCTCGTTTGTTTCTTCAGTGGGGAAAAAATTGATACTACCTACTAGCTCTGTTACTGTGTGACATAACTAAATAACATTGGTAAAGAGGTCTAAGACATTGGTAAAGAGGTCTAAAGAGGCTAAGTTTAATTATTTATTATTAGCATCTCCCCATGCAGATGTTTCTGGTTTGAAAAACGTGAACCATGTGGTCAACAACAGGATCCACAAATCTAGTAAATGAAATGCAAGAAGAATAGAGAAGCATTATGAAAGCCAAGGGGTCGGGAAAGAAAACATCCAAGGTGCGGAAGGAGTTTAAAAAGTAAAATACAGGGGCGCCTGGGTGGCTCAGTGGGTTAAAGCCTCTGCCTTCAGCTCGGGTCATGATCCCAGGGTCCTGGGATTGAGCCCTGCATAGGGCTCTCTACTCAGTGGGGAGCCTGCTTCCCCCCCCACTCTCTGCCTGCCTCTGTGCCTACTTGTGACCTCTGTCTGTTATAGAAATAAATAAAATCTTTTAAAAAAAAGAAAAGTAAAATACAATTAATCCAAGAAATATTCATGAGGATGAGCTTTGAAGAAAAATAATTCGGCAGACCAGAAACTAACAGAAAGAGCATAAAGAGAGGAGGGGCAGAAATTATGCTGTCTTGAAGACATAAAGGCAGAACCTATCAAGAAAAAGGTAAGAGAAGCTGTATGGAGGAGAGAGGAAGTATTTGCCAAGTTTGGTGCAAAAGAATCCTTTGGAAAACAGGAAACGTAAACCTTGGTGAAAGCAACATGACACAAGAAAATCTAATTGAGGCAATTTTAAAATGAAAACACACAAAAAGACCAGATGCAAAAATTAATAAATAGAGACAAACCTTTAATCATACACACACATAAGTGCGTGCAAACGCGCACCCACGCACACACATACACACACATCAGGATAAGTTCTAAAGAAAGCCCAACAGTATATTGTAATCAAGGCTGAAGAAAATTTAGTAAATAGAGTCTTCTTTCTGTTATCTCTACTTTTATTTTCCATTGAAATCTGTTGATGGAGTCTGATCACTTACAACCTCATAATTAAGGAAATTGTCTCAGAATAACTCAGTCATTATTCAGAAATCACCTTTTCTAAAGCCAGAAAAGGATAAATAATTTTCTCTACCTATTAAAAATGATACTTTTAATTGACTATCCCAATTTTGGTACAGGGAAATTAAGGAAAAATACCAATGAGCTTCAATGAGAAACAAACCATGGTGGAATCACATAGATACTATCTCACCTCATAATTATCTATTGGGAACTTGAGTAAGTCAGTTAACTTCTCTGAGCTTCAGTTTTCTTGTCTGTAAAATGGGAATGATAATACCCTTGGTTTGGGGAAGAAGAGGTATGTTAAACACAAATCTGGCACACATTAAGTGCTCAATTACCCTTTCCTTTTCTCCTCCTCCTCATACTGGCTGGCATAAACACTAAGACACATAAAATTCACTTACGTACATAAAAAAAATATTTTTCTACAGTCCATGGTCTTAGTAAATCTCTTGTTAACTGTGAACAAGGCATTTCTCCAAAAAAAAAAAACCCCAAAACACAAGAAATTGTGGGAAACCAGTTAAATCTGATACTTCTCTCAATCTGGAATTGCTTAAAAGATACGTAAAAACTAGTAATTTGGAGCCCTATTCTCAGAATTAGTAATCTCACCAGTGATACCAAGTATCAGATCAATCACTTTCCCTGCTAAAACAACATGGATTTTTGTTTTAGATTTTGTTTCTCTTGCCCTTTTCACGATAAAAATTAACTGGAAATAAAGTTGGTTCAGTCTTATAGACTGGATTTATTTTAGTTTTAAACTTTTATTCTGGGGCTTACTCTGCAAAATTTATATTTGGTATCTGAGAGTAAGGACCAAGTGAGAAAAAGAAAGAGAAGAAAGACACAAACAGCTGGATGGCAGCAAAGTACACTACAAAGGCACTGGCCCAGGGAATCAAGTGATCCCAGGTTGGTCTTGGACGTTACCTCACTCCTCTGAACCTCAATTTATTAATCAATAAGATGATATTCCAGGAGTTCCCTTCCAGCTCCAAAATTCTCTTCTAACCATGGGGCAACCTTTTGCTTTTATTAAATTAACAAAGCTGGGCAGAGGGTGGTGCAGGGGAGAGGGGAGTGCACAACCTAGGATTCTGTACTCTCATTAATAGCTTGTATGGACAAGACAGGGTGGAGAACTACTACAAATTAATGTAACTCTTTAGAAAAACAATTTAATAAAATACATCCAGAACGTGAGACTCCAGAAAGTGAAACTCACACAGTGGTTCCAAGTTGCAGTCTCTAGTTTTCAGAGCGGCAGGGTTCTAACGCCCATTTAGTTTAGTTGTTTTACTACAGTTATTGTGTCTGTAAAATAAAGACGCTAATGTAACTATGGAAGGAGTTATTGTGAAGATTAAATTGAATTCAGGTTATAGGCCTGCCCCCCTGACAATCTGGCACATGGCAAGTTCCAAAGACGTATGAGCTATTATTTTTTGTTATGTTTTGACCCAATAAACTCATTCCTGGGTATTTATCCTTAAATAATTGTAAAGAAGAAAGAAGGCATTTGATGTGATAATTTGTGATATCACTGAAAACAGCAGGGGAAAAAACTGCAAAAAAAATCTGAATGTTCAACAATTGAAAAGTGGAAAAAGTACTTAACAGTAGTTAAAAAACAATAAGAAGCTGTTGAAATTATTACTATAAGGGGTAGGTAATATTATGGGAAAATATGTATGGCATGATATTAAGAAAGCATGATTCAAATTGCTTATATGTTATGATTTCAACTACATAAAAATGTGTATGTGTATATAGAAGCTAGAAAAGAATAGAGAAAAATGAAATGAGTTTGTATATTTCAATAAATTGAGTTACCATGTTATTCTTCCTTTTGGTATGGATAGTTTAAATTAGATTATTGACTTTCAGAAAATAAATAATGTAACTTATTACTGCTTTTCAAATGCTGGTGAATTATACTGCTAATGGACTTTCATCTTCTTATTCTTTCACCACAATCCAATATTATTGAAATTGAAGTCAGCAAAGTTGTAACATGTATAAAAAAATAATAATATAAACTTTGCAAAAATTACCATTCTATTGTATTCAAGAATGGATTTTTTAGGTAATCATATGACAGTCCATAGTTTCTTTTAGACATTATAAATATTTTCCTTAAATAAACTATATTTTTATTTTATTTTAAATTTTTATTTAAATTCTAGTTAGCTAACATACAATGTAATATTGGTTTCAGGAGTAGAATTTAGTGCTTCATCACTTCCATATAACACTCAGTGCTCACCATAACAAGTGTCTTCCTTAATACCCATCACTCATTTAGCCCATCCCCCATCCACCTCTTTCTAGCAACCCTTCATTTTTTTTCTATCGTTAAGCATCTCTTACAGTTTGCTCCCCTCTTTTTTTTTCTTCCCATATGTGCATCTGTTTCATTTCTTAAATTTCACAAATGAGTGAGATCATATGGTATTTCTCTTTCTTTGACTTATTTCACTTAGCATAATACACTCTAGCTCCACCCATGTTGTTGCAAATGGCAAGATTTCATTCTTTTTGACGGCTGAGTAATATTCCATTATATGTATATATAATGGAATGGATAAAGAAGAGTGGTATGTATATACATACACATACCATATATATACATGTATACACGTACCATATATATATACATATATACACATATATACACATACCATATATATACATATACACATATATATGTGTATATGTGTATATATGTATACACATACCACTCTTCTTTATCCATTCATTAGTTTGATGGACATTTGGGCTTTTTCCACAGTTTGGCTATTATTGATTAAAAACTTTTTTCAACATTAGTGGGGTATTGTTATAAAATGCATTTCTAAAATTAACTTGTAGACAAAAACAAACACATAAAACAAAACTAAAGAAAAACCTTCCAATTAAAGAATAACATTAATAAATGACACTTCTGGTTTATTAGGATATTAAAAAGAGTACTAAGCCCAGGGTATCCTAATGGTTAGGTAGAATCTTACACATCTCCAAGCTGTGTGCACAGGGTGATTAGAGGGTATGCTTTTGATATGGCTATTTATTTTACTGGCTGCATTAAATTTTAAATTCTTCTGTTAACTCCATCAAAATATTTACTGCAAATATCAGTTGAACTCAGAAAACAACAACAACAACAACAAATATCCAAATTAAGAGCTATAGTCAACAAAAACCATTTGAATAGTAGGTCATCACTATTTCAAAATGATCTCATAAGAATAGAAGGATTAAGAAAAAACTAAGTAACTCAATAATTCAAACCACACAGAAACAGCACAGCTCAAAGTCCATAGATGTGAAACATTTATTTCTAATGGATTCATGAAATGTAAGTAATGGAATTAACAGTTGTTATATTCTTAAATCAAGAGTGTGAAGGCGGAGCACCTGGGAGGCTCAGTCAATTAAACATCTGCCTTTGGCTAAGGTCATGACCTCAAGGCATGATCTCAGGGTCCTGGGATTGAGCTCCAGGTGGGCCTCCCAGCTCAGCAGAGAGTCTGCTTCTTCCTCTGCCCCTTCCCACCCTCGTTCCTGCTTTCTCTCTCTCTCAAATAAATAAATGAAAAAGTCTTTTAAAAAAAAAAGCGTGAAGGAATTATTTATACTTCTAGCATGTGGTCATGAATCTTCCAAACACAAAACTAGATATGGGGAACATAAAAAAAAAAAAAAAAGATGAGCAAAAAATTGAAAAATACTCTTGTCAAAATTAAGTTAAAGGAAAAGAAAAACTTCAGTAAAATAAATGTTATCAGAAAATAAGCTGAAAATAAATTTTAAAAAATGATAATAAAAAAAAAGAAAATAAGAGAGGCCATAGGATTAGGTGCAATATATCTGTTGCATTATCCAAATCTTCACCTGTCAAAGGCCAAGACCTAGTTATAAAAAACAAGGTCCCATCACAATCCCAAAGATTATAACTGGGCTTTGGAATAAATTTGGAATAAAAATTATTTAATATTACCCTGACACCACCAAGTCCTTCTTTTTAATTCAGCAAACATTTATTAAGTGCTTACAATGTGCAAAGCATGAAAACAGTTACAGGAAGTCAACCAGAAATGAACAAATATGAGCCTTTCTCTCCTGAGCTCCCAATTTATGAACTCTCAGACATTTCTTGAGCAGAAGAATCTTCTACTATCCTTCATAGATCTCTTTTGGAACAAATAAGATATTCACAACTGGGCCACTGCCTTTTCTGCTGAGTTGAGTTTCAGTCCCAACTTCCAAAAACCACAAACTCATTCATCAACCAGTTAACTCTGTCTGACAACTAAAATAAATTGCCTTATGACAAATCTGTTTCCCCTGAATGATTTTAATTATCCCTGTAGCCAAGAATTGTGACTAACTTCTGTGACAGAAGTGAGAAGTACATTGTTGAAAAAGCCATTAACTCTTGGTTTTGGTGTTAAACCTTTGTAGAGCTGTTCTCTTTCCTGCAACAGGGAGGAAGGGAATAGCTAACTTGGGTACTTACCAGATACCATACCGTGGTCTGAGTGCTTTATGTACATGTACATTATCTCATTTAACTCTTGCAAACAATATTATGAAGTAGGTATCATTATCATCATCATTTTTAGAATGAGGTTTAAAAGCATAAGTGACTGGTACATAGTCACAAAGCTAGTAAAGAGTCGTTTCTCCTAAAGATGAGAGAGTATGC